CCCCAAAACCCCAAAACCCCAAAACCCCGGTGTAGGTGAGAATTATTGAATCATTATTGTGGTTTATGCTAGAGAATTAATTTAGTTTGTCTAATTCTCAACTCTTTTCATTAAAAATCCAAATACATGTCCAAGATCTACTTTTCCATATCCATTAAATGATCTAGCATGAGTGACTAAGCTGAAGAGCTTGTTGTAAATTGGCTTGTACGGTTCAAGAGCATCTTTGATTTGCTTTGACTGTTCTGCACTAACCTTGGGGATCTTCTCTGTATTAAAAAGTCTCTCCAGATAGTTAAATGTATCTGTTACACCTTTCTCACTAAGAACCTTGGCTCTTAGAGCTCCATTGCATCCTTTATTCAGACATTGTCCAGGGTTTAGGAGAGTTTTACCGCTCCAGTTACACCCAGACTCTCCACATGTATAGGTAGGCTCATAGTAATCTTTCAGCATCTTTTTCATGATGAGCTTGATTCTGTTAGCAATATAAGAAGCAGGGAGTGTATTCATATCCTTTTTGTCTAGTGAGTTAGGATCAAAATCAACAATCCCAGGGATGAATCCTTTTAATTTACTACTTCTTTGATGAAGAAGACCCTCAAAATCTTTCATCTCATCATCAGTTCCTGGTTTTCTGTATTTAAGTGGATATTTAGTCAATCCTAGACATATATAAGATGCTATGCTTACCTTTGTATTTCTCAAGATTATCCTTATTCTGGGCTACATCAAGAAACTTCTGTTCGAAGGTTGCATCTTTTTCAGTGTTGTTGTTTACACTAGACACGATATTATGCTTCTTAGGATTAAGACCAAAGCATTCACAGATGAATCTAGCATCAATTCCTTCAATATGCTCTATCAATCTAGAAATAGGAGGGTAGATTTGCTGAGACAAGTACCAATCGATATCTAGCTCAAGCTCTCCATTTGATTTCAAAAACTCATCAGGAGTGTATGCTCTCTGGGCAGCATTCTTTTCAGGTCCTTTACAGATGACATAGGGAATGAAGGTATTGATCAGCTCATTATCACTTTTTCCTAACTTATCTTTCATTCTCATGGCAATTACAATGTGAGGAATAGTCTGACCCTTCTCATATTTGCTGATGTCTTTCGTAACTTGCTTTGTGATCAAGAATTCTTTGAGAGATATTTGATTTTCCTTTAACTTGACTGAAATATTGCCAAAATATGCTCTGAGATTAATCTGAATCTGATCCTGAGTGTTTGATGACAGGATTTCCTTGAGGACGTAGTTTCCAATACTCTTTGAGAGAGGACACCAATCTCTTCTGACCATATCAAGTCCCTTAACCTCCTTCTTATTAAAAGAGTTGGGATCATTCAAGTCGGTATACACAAGAGCAGCATACTTTTTCTTCTTAAGCAAGAGAAGAGACCTGAACACACCGTCAATCTCAATTTCTAGGCATTTGTATTTCCTATTGACTTCTTTCTTGATCTCTCCTCCGATCTTGATGGCTTCTTTAAGGTCGTCAATTCCAGAGTAGATCATGACGGAATCTGTATCTCCATAGATTACATTATAGTTAAGGTTCTCAGTAGTGATTTTGACTGTATCTTCCAAGGCATGTCTTCCTTTTCTGGTGATAAGAGCAGCAATTGCCTTCGCATAGAATCTTGAGCTTGAGAATCCTAAACATCCGTACATGGAGTTGGCAGTCAGCTTGAAAGCTTTCTGTTTAATATCAAGTTGGTCAAGTCTTTCTTGATCTTTTTCTCTTTTAATCTCATTCTTGACATCCTTTCTTCTTTTAACTAGCATTTCAAGAATTGAAGGAAGCACTGCTTTTCTATCTCTGCTGGTGTCTGGAACATCAACTTCATCAATACAAGCATCATTTACTTCTTGTCCATCGAAGTTGTGAGTAATTGGCCTGTCAACAGTAGTGAAGCACAAGTCATACTCTTGAATAATTGAAGGATAAAGAGAGTTGAAATCAAGTAACAGTACAATTTTATCATAAAGTCCTGGCTTTGGCTCCAATACAAGTCCTCCTTCATAAGCTGCCTTCTTTCTCTTATTTGGATTGGCATTTTTACTCTTTTCTTCTTCATTATAGAACTTCTTGCCCACTTCTTTATCTGGGCAAATGAAATTCTTTGCAGTAAACTCATGAACTAACAGCCACTCGTTTCTCTCAGCTCTTGCATTTTGAAGAGATCTGTACCAGAGATTTCCCGCAATATTTGTGAGTTGCTTAGTTAGAGGAATAATAGCGAGTTTGAATAATAACTTCTGAGTCAAATCAGCATCATTCTCGGTATGCTGAACTACACCCAAGAGATCCTTTGCCTTCTTTTTGTAAAATTCTTTCAGCATAGAATAATCAAAATCAAGTCTTTTGAAGCCAAGCTGAGTTCTAGCTAAATCTGTAAGAGTGTAATTAATCTCTCTGACCAGCTCTTTTGCAGTGAGGAAAGTGTCTCACACAAGTCTTCCGATGGTGCATTGTCTGATTAGGTAATATCCTCCATAAGCAACTCCGTCTTTCTTGCTAGACTTTGGAATAATACTCTTTTTGTATCTTCCCATTTTTGACCACATCCCGACTCTGAGTTTCACCATTCTGTCCATGAGAGTACCGAAAATTCCTTGACAGAGTTCATGTCCGACGATCATATCTGGGTCATATTTCTCTATTCTTGTGACAAAATTCTCGAGCATCATCTTCTCACTATCAAATGAACTGCATGGAACTTTTCTGTGCTTGCTCTGTTCAGTAAAGTTTTGAGGGTATGGAAGCCTATCCATTTTTCTTACAAGAGAGAAAGCTCTGTTGTTATTTTGAGGGTTTGCAGTTTGCCCATCACATTTCACTTTGTCATTCATGAGGCAAGAAATCATGCAAATTTCATTGACCTTGAAATTGTTCTTGTAGTATTTCATAGCAACTGTCATTACTTTCAAAGGAGGAGAAGGTCTGTTCCTATCCTCTGTACGACATTCAAGGGCTTTAGGGCTATCAACAGTAATCTCATGAGCACACCAACTGGTCTTGTAGTCTGTGACTTCTTTGAATCTTGTAATAGTAATCCATCTTGGCCCCATTACTTTCTTACTAACTAGAAGGAGCTCCAGTATACTAGTGTTCTTTCCAAAAATGTGGCTGTATGTCTTTCCCTTTATGTGATGAGGTAGAGGGTCATACTCAGTTGAATATCTTACTTCTATATAGTTGGAGGTGCCTCTAACTGCTGGCATTTCAAAGCAGTACTCCTTTTCTACAGGCCTCATTCTATAGTTCTTTATTTTTCTGCGATTTAGCATATCTTTAATCTCTTGGATAACTTCTGTAGGAGCCACATCTTCCTTTGGAACGACGAACATTACTCTTTCGATACCTTGGACTCTCATACAAAGACTTCTGTATTCTTTCCTGCTAGAGTCGAATATTTTTCCATAGAGGAAGGCTTCTCTTTGTCTACTGTACTCTTCATGAGCGTCGATCAAGAAGAATCTGAGGTTTCCATCTTTTTCGGTAGGGATATTCCTATCTCCAATAGCCATTGAGTATGATGGGGTGGACTTTGAGTTGTCAATCATATCATCTTCCATGTCAGCATCCTTGGGCTCTCTCATATTTCCTACACTTTCATCATCTTTCGGGGTGTTGATTGAAAGACGACGAGAGTCATTTTCCTTATTTTCTACTGATTTCTGCTCAACCTCCATCTCTTGATCTTGGTTAATCTCAGGCTCAGGCTGCTTTATCTCTTCCTTTTGGGCTTTAGGAACTAGCACGTCATATTTCTGTTCTAACTGGTCATGAATAGTGTAGGCTGCATTCTCATTTTCTTCAGGCTCATATTTTCCGCCAATTATATCGTCATCTTGATCATTATCTAACTTTTTGAGTAAGTTATCCATCATTGCACTACTCTTCTCATTAGAGACAGCTGCTTTCTTATGAGAAATGGTTGGCTTCTTAGCCTTAGAATCTTTGTTAGATTTTAAGAAGAATCCAGGGAGGGCTTTGTTAGCTTTTTCTTTAGTCTTTTTGGCTACCTCTTCTTCATCATCTTCCCAGATTTCTCCACCATGATCTTTGTATCCATCTGCATCTCCATCTCCCACAATGAAGTCATTTTGCCTCCTCTCTTCTTGAAGTGCATTGTATTCTTCGTCATTGAGCTCCTCAATAATATTTTTGTTGTTTGCATCTATACAAATTAACTATTAACCCTGTTCGAAATCATCAGGATGAGAAGTACTAGGAAAGATATGTTTTTAAGAAATTAAGCAAGACTTACCATGCTCAGCTTGGTATTCGTCCAGTCTACGACCGCCTCCTTTTCTAAGCTTGGCTAAGCTAGCTAAAGCACCCTTCTTTCCTTCAGATTCTCCGACAGCTTTTACTTCTCTTCCGCTTCTAGTGTTCATTTTGAATTTGCGAAAATTAATTATTTTTTGAAAATATTTTTTAATTTTATGGCGGTATCTCAATTTTAGCCAAAAGTTTAGGGGTTTTGGGGTTTTGGGGTTTTGGGGTTTTGGGGTTTTGGGGTTTTGGGG